TTCTGCTATTGCAAATTGCACTCATTTCTCAAGTTTGAATCTTGATCTTAGGTAAAAATAGACAGTTTATTTATTTATTTTGAATTGTGTTGATGTTTTTAGTTAGTTCTTTCTTTCTTAATTTAACCCATTTTTTTATTATCAACATTTATTTGCTTTTATTATTTATTAATTAATTAATTTATTTCTTATTATTTGATATTTTATCTTCATTTATTTTTTCCTTCTGAACAACTTATTGATTATTTGTTTTTTCTTCAATTTTTAAAAAGCGAGAATGAAATTGGTGATTAAAGTGCATTAAGCTTAGAATTTGCTCTAGCAAATTGCACTAATCTCTCAAATTTTACACTAAAACTTAGGTAAAAAAGTTTATTTGTTTTGGATTGTGATATTTATTGTCGTAAAAATGAATTTAAACAATTTAACTTTTTTAATTCGTTTGCTTATTAGCATTTATTTAATTTACTTTTCTTTTTCTTTTTTATTCTGCTAATGTTTTTTATATTTTAATTTTAAATTAAAAAATTTATTCTATTTCACATTTTATTTTAATTTAATTTAATATAGAAGTATAAGATAGATCAATAAATCTGATAAATTGAAAGTAGAACGCAAGTGTCTTAAATAAAAAAGATTAGTTGTCTTTAATATGTACTATGGTTATGATTGGTGAAATATGATGAATAAATATTAAATATTTGAATAATAAAAAATAATATGTTTTATTATATAGTTTTTTGTAATAAGATAATTTGCCATAAAATATTGATAGATATAGCACTTTGCAATTTTAAAAAATAGTCATCACTATTTATTAGCGATGATTTAATTAATATTTAGAAATATACATAATTTAATTAAATATTATGTATATTTTTTAAATTTATTTTCTGATATATTTTGATGCATTAAATGAAAAATAGTAATTATTTAAAAATATTATTTCTTAAATAAATTAATTACATTAAAAAATATAAAACAAATATTTTATAATAAAAATTAAAATAAAATTATTTAATAAATTAATCTATTTTTTTGCAAATAAGGAGGAATTAAATTCTTAATTCTCTACTTCCATAAGAATTTAATTAACCTGAAAGTGTTATATTTAAAAAAATTATTTGGTTAAGCATTTTTTTCATTTGTTTTACAAGCAAATAAAAATTTTATAATAAGAAATTTTGAATTAATATTTTGAAAGTAATGTACTATAATATTAATAAAGAAAAATAAATCAAATATTAAGTAAATCAGACATAATAAAATACAAATTAATGAATAAATTTTAGTTAATTTGGTTTTTAGTGCAATATGCTAGCATAAGAATATATTGGTCTTCTAAAAATAACTCTTTAATACTTAATTAAGTCTAAAAATTCTTTCTAATAAAGCATCTCTTTCAAATATTAAGTAAATCAGACATAATAAAAGACAAATTAATGAATAAATTTTAGTTAATTTGGTTTTTAGTGCAATAAGCTAGCATAAGAATATATTGGTCTTCTAAAAATAACTCTTTAATACTTAATTAAGTCTAAAAATTCATTCTAATAAAGCATCTCTTATCCTCTAAAATACTTGGCAATTAAATTGCATCTAATTTTAATTACAAGACTTATCCATAATCATCATTATTCATTTCATTATGAATTATGATTTTACATCTATCTTTATAATCTAAGTTTTAACCAAATATTATATCTAAATCTGTTAAAAAGTTAATATCATATGGTTTAATATCTAAAAACAAATAATCTGCTTTAACTTTTGGTAATTTTAATACCCTATGAATATTGTTGCCAGTTGGATCAAACAAATCACTTTCAAATTCATGATTAATTTTAATATAGATCTATAGATGGCTTACTGAGAAATCTAAATTTTCTTAATTTATCAGCCATTCTAATTAATTTTGAAATAAATTATCTTAAATATCTAAATATTTTTAATGTCTATTTGAATATCTATATTAAGTATTTAGACTTAAAATAAGTTTTTCAAGAAAAATCTATTTAAATTGCTTAAATTTAATGCAAAGAGGATTTTTAAATTAAATTTGTAGATTTTCTTCACCAAGAACTAATTAACAAATCAAAGTTTGGTAGTTATCCAAAACTTTCTCCAGTTCATTTAAGTTTTAAAATTCTTAAGGATATTATTCTTCAATTCTCGTATCTTACTCTAATTTGTTTTTTTATTCTTTTATATTTAAATCTTATTTTGATATTTATTAATCAAACCAATCCTATTGATTTAATTTGTTTGTTTATGGTGATACAGATTCTTCCATTTATTTTGAGTAAGTTTCTTCGATTTACAATTAAGTTTATTATTGAATTATAATTAATCTGTTCATAAATGTCTTTAAAATTTAGCTTAAACTACCAATATTAAAAATAAACTAATTCAGATATTTATTAAATTCAAAAAAAAGTGGAGAAATGTCTATCTTTTTCTTTAAGTACTAACTATTATGCTAATCTAAGTTAATATTTTGAGTTTTCCAAGATTTACAGTATTTTAAATTGCAATCACTATAAGAGTATAGATAATACTTCTTTTATACTTTTTATAGTAAAAGAAATTCTCCATATTTCTACAATTCTTCAAAAACAGAAATTATATTTTACATTTTTCTTAATTTTACTAATTAAATTTTTTTAGATTATTTAATTATGAGATAAATGCATTCTATTTATAAATTTATAATAACAAAATATCTTTCTAAATCTGCTTAAATCTGATTTGAAAAAATAAGGCGCTGATATTTTATATTTACATTTTATTTTGTTTCAAATACAATATCTTCATTTTTCTCAATATTTATATGCAAATTTATAAAATATAAAGTTCCTACTTTTCTTCTCTATGTTAACAACATAATTTTTTAAAAATTTAATTATTACAATGTCTATTCAAAATTTATGCATTATTGTATCCATCTTTTATTTTATAAGTGAAATATTATGAAAAATATACCAATCGATAGAGTTTAAAAAGATCTATTTTAACACAATTAATTCGCTTCAAGTTATTTAATGAATAAAAAAATATATTAAATTAAATTTTTATAGTTTGTTTAAGTTTTTTTTTTTAATTTTAAGTAAGTTGCTGTAATATTACAAAAAGAAAATTTTTTAAAAAATTAATTTTTCATAAAAATTAAATAAAAGGCCTTTCTTTTTAATAAAATCACAGGTAGATCTATCTGATAAATTCAGACAAATTAAAATAAAAAAAACAAGAAGGCTAACTACTTTTCAAATTTTAATAAAATCTTATTGAAATTCCGCTGACATTATGTATCAAGTCAGTGGAATTTCAATACCTGGATTAGCAATATTAAATTAATTTATTTACTTTATTAAGAGCTAAACTAGGAATTAAATTATTAGTTATTCATATCAATAATATTTAATACATGGAAGTATTATATATTTTATATTTTTAGATATAGATATTGATTGATATTTTTAACTGTTTTGTCATTTACTTATTTCCTTAATTATTAATTTAATGTAAATTCTTTTTTATTTTAAGAATATTCTTATTATTTATTTTGTAAAACTGTATAGTTATATTTATCAGTGTGTGTTAGAAAAGCCATAAACATTATATTATTAGTCCGAGCCTTTAGCATGATCTAAACAATAAAATATATTATTAATAAATTTAAAACATAAAACATTTATAGTTATAGTTTATCCTTCTTCCATCTTATTTGTTAATGTGTTGATAAATTAGATTTCTTATTTAAATTATTTTAAGATAGTTATTAAAGTGTTATTGTATAAATATATTTGTTCTTGCATACTTTAAATTGATTAAACTATATTTTAGACATTTTATTTTTAATAATTAATATCTATTTGTTATTATTGTCTTATGATTCTATACTAATCTATCAAATTTTAGTCAGAGTGTATATGTATTAGTTACTACTCAACAGTACAAGAAATGAGTTATTTTTTTATAGCATTTAATTATTCTTTTGTTAATACTAAAATATGTTTTTCAATATCATTAGAAATGTTAAAGATTTTTATATTTTTATTTTAAGTAGCATTTAAATTCCAGCTGTATTTATTATGAAATATGTTTTGTGCTAAGCCTTATTGATTGTAAAATAATTATTCTGTACTTAAATCTTTCTTTTTATTATTTTAATTTATTATTATTTATCCTTAGTTTCTCACATAGCATTGTAAATCTAAACTGATTAGGAAACGAAAACTTTTACATAAAAACATTCATTTATTTTACCAAACTTATTCTACAATGTAAATTTGACTATCTAACCTATTGTTTATTATGTTTAGTAATTACTCCAAAGTCTGCAGTTGATTTTATTCTGTAAGTTATCAACCAACAATAATAAGATTCTAATGTAAATAAATATTCTTCTAAAGCTTTATATTACTTTTAAAGCGATGTTTTATAGAAAATATTAGATTCTTTAAAAATTTATATTAATAGTTTATTAAATTAATGTATTACTAAGCATCTAATATATTTTAGTTATAAACTGTTATTTCGAATCTAGTTAATCCAGAATTTTATGCTTGATTAAGAAAATTTTTTAAGTTATGTGTATCAATCACTATTAAATATATCAATAAGATGGTTATTAAAACATTTCTTTTACACAGAATTTGATGTAAGTTAACAAACGAATTTGTTATAAAGCTTATGTCTAGTAGTAAAACCGTATTAATTTGTAATGTAAGTGAGACAATTATCACCTACAACATTTTAATTAGTTAATATTGTATGAGTTGGTTATTCTTAAAACTTTTTATTTTATTATTATTATATTTAAAAGTTATATTTCATCATTAAATAATCTATTGTTTCTTACCTGTTGAAGTTATTTAAGAAACCCTATGTTAAATCTATTTAAAAGAGATAGAATCCTTGTTGATTTAATTCTTCTTCTGCTTTTTTAAAATTACTTATTAGCTCTAAAATTGGATATTTTAACATTCTATCTTCATATCATAGTAACTAATATCTGTTTAATAATTTTCAAATCTAGTATTATAAATAACCTAATTATACTACTCCATAATCTTTGGATTATTTTATATAATTTTCCTTATTTATTTCTTCTCTTCAGAATCTTTACTATTTAATTGTTAAGGCTTTCTCAAATGTTTGACATCCATTTGTAAATTATTGCTTAATTTATACTTCTTGCATATTTCTCTTAATTAAATATTCTTTTAAACAGTTTTATTTTAATCTTACTTTGAGTTAACAAGTGACATTGTTGGTAATAAGTAAAACACTACAATATTGTCACAAAATAAAATTGGATCATTACCTTCTTGTAAGTTAACATTTTTCTCTGTATAATATTTATTATAATTTACATTTTAAATATCAGATATTAAATTTTCATTTAGCATATTAGATAATAGAATATTGTTTACAATAATCTTAGAAATCTTCTTTTTCTATGCTTTAAATTGTTTATCACTTAATGTTTATACATCTGTAAATTAGATATCGAATAATTATTTGATGTTACATTGCTTATATTAGATTTAATGTTCTGTTTTTTATAAATCTATAATATATCTTTCGTTTTGTTGCATTTCTTATTTTTTAGTTCCAACTTTTAGGAGGTATTAAATCTTTGCATCTATCTATATATTAAAAAAATAAAAAGTTAAAATATTTTATTGCCTATTAAGAATAAAGTTTAATTTACGATTGTGTTACTATTGCTATCCATTACTTTTTATCCTTTTTAATTTTATTACTATTCTATTCGTTTTATTTTTAATTAATTTTTCAATTTTACATATAAATTATTGTTTCTTATTAGGATACTTGACATTTAAATATTGTTTTTCAATCATAAAGTAAAAACAAGTATATTTTGCATTAATAAATCGTAAAGTAAAAATAACTATCATTTGTATTAATATATTTAAAATCAAAGAAAATGTAAAAAATGATTATAATTTGTATTGTTTTATTTAAAATCAAAGTAATGTAGAAAATGAATTTAAAAATGCAAATAGTAAAAAAATAAAAACAAGAAGCTCATTAAATGTTTTCATGATGTATAATAATTCGTTTAAAAAATGAGTGGTTAAAAGAAAATACAACTTATTTTATTTTTAGAATTTTGATATTTTTAAAAATCGTTAAAAAAGTGCATATGATAAATAAAATATGAGAAAAAGTAAATTAAAATCAAATAAATTTTAATATTTTTATTAGTAAATTAATATAAGTATTTTTAAGCACATAATAGTTATATATTTCAATATTTAATAATTTTTTTTTTCATTGAAGAACTTCTTAAATTATGTGATTAGTCTTTTTATTCAACAGTTATCAGATTTTTAACTAATCTTTAATTTTGTGAAATATCAATACCTTTTAGAGTGAATTAAGCAACATCCTTTTACATAGTGTAATTAACTTCCAATTTTTCATTTACTTATTTTTGTAGGTTTACAATCGATTAATTAGTTTAATTCAAATTTTGCTACAAAACTTCATTAAACTGGCCTTATTTAATGATAAAACTATTAAAGTTTTATTAAAATAAGTTAAATTAATCTCTTAATTCACTAAGAATTAATTCAATCCTCCTAATTGTATTTCTCATACTTTCTGAATTGCTCCTCTTATTTTATAAAAATATAATGGCAATAAAAATATTTTTTGTATATTTAAATTAAATTAATTACTGAAGAGCTGGATGACCTATCTAAATTTAGATGCGATAAAGACTATTTCTATTTGTTTTCCACTTTTTGATTATACTTTCTTCGAGATTTTGATAACTTTTCTTTCGACTAACTTTCGCTATTTTCTGTTACTATTTTTATTTTCGATCCTTTTTAAAAAGTAAATCCCTCATATTCGCTAACTGTTTTACTTATATGCGATTAGTTAGGGAATTATATTGCGTTTGAAATATTTCTAGCATCCACCAATGAGTCTTCATCTATAATATTTGAAGATGATAGTTGATTTTTCTTAGACATTTTTTTCTTCTCAATTGTTTAAAATTAATTTATTTCTTTATATTTTTTTACATATAAATTATTGTTTCTTATTAATATACTTAACATTTAAATATTGTTATTAATCATAAAGTAAAAATAAGTATAATTTGTATTAATCAATCGTAAATTAAAAATAATTATCATTTGTATTAATATATTTAAAATCAAAGAAAATGTAAAAAATGATTATAATTTGTATTGATATATTTAAAATCAAACAAAATGTAAAAAATGATTATAATTTGGATTGATATTATTAAAAAATTATTTAAAAGATTAGAAAAGTAGTTCAAAAGTAGTTTAAATTTAGAAGATATTTTATATTTAAGATATAAATTAATAAAATTAATATATTTTTATTACTATTTTTTATATAAGTAAATAAATCTTGAAGCAAAGACTCATTATCTTTAGTTATAAGGACCTTTAAATGTGCAGTTTTTAGTTAGAATAAATTTGAAAACATTTGCTGAAGTCCGACTATAGAGGTTTTAACGTAATTACAATCAATATTCAAAAATAATTATTATAGATTTTGTAAAGTTTAAAATAACTAAATTTATCTTTGAATCGTTTATTGCAAAAATAAGCTTTGATAATTAAGTGTTTTTAGTTTCTTCATAAATGAAATTGCTTCTGATAATTAAACCATTTAAGATCCTTCATATTTTTCGTTGTTGTAAAGATTATATACCTCTAAATTCTTTAAATTTTAAAGCGATTGTAATATCTAGTTTAAAATTATTCTAGTTGAATCGTGAGCTATCCCATAATGTAATTCTTTTAAATTAGTGAGAGTATTTATCCCATTTATAAAATCTTCTATAGATTTTATTTCATTATTTTCATCAGGTAGTTATTATTAATTAGCTTAGAAACCAAATCCAAAACCTTATTTTTTCTTTTCTTAAAATCTAATAAGAATTTTAAGCTTTTATAAATCATTTTATCTTTATAAAGCCATTTCTAGTTCTAAAAACTCATTTGAAAATAGCATTGATCCAATGTTTATGCTTAAGCTTGAAAGTTTGAGCTATCCTAAGTGTGATAGGGCTAATTCTTATTTACGGTCTGTAAATACAGTTAAAGATTTAAAGTGCAAATCTAACTCTTTTAAGCTTTAAATTTTTCCTATACTTTCCAAAATTTAATTTAAAATAGCAGTTTTACTTGAAGTAAGATCTGTAGTAAAATTTAGCTATTTTAACTCATTCATATGGTTTAATGATTCGCAAAGAGCTATGCCTTAAGATTATTTTATAAAGTTAGAGAATGCCAAGTCTAAAGCTTAGATAGAGCTATTTTGTTTCAAAGATTACATTATTTCATTATAGATTTGGTCTTGTATATTTTCTTTGTAACAAAATAGCTTTAGAAATTTTAGTTTTTATTTATTACTTAAGCATTATGTAACTTTTCTATCTGAATCTGTAGAATTTTTGTTTTCTATTGTAATTTTTAAATCAGTTAGATTAGGTAAACAGGCTAATGATTCATAATAATCATCTAGAGGTCTATTTAAAAACATACCAAAAAATTATTCTAAATTAGTTAGATTTCTAAAAAATGTGTCAATTAAAAAAATATCTTCCTTTTCTTTCACCTTTTAATTTAAAGCTAAACTAAGTTCTTTTAGCTAAATAAGTTTGGATAAATAAAGTGTGAGCATTTTTAGAAAATTATATCCTTAATAAGTATTGCAAATTTAAGGATATGTCTAAATCTTATATTGACTATAAGAAAGATAGACCTTACCAAAGATTTAACTTTTCTTCAGAAATATCAATTTGATACTCTTAAACTTAGAGTTTTAGTTCTTCTATCTGCGAAAAATATTTGAAATTGTCAACTAAGTTCTTCAGGCTCAACACAGAAACATAATTAGATTTATTTATTATAATTATTAATTTTTTCAAGCAAGTCAAAGACGAAATCGCATAGCTTAAGAGATTCAATCCCTGTTCTTCTAATGAGCAAGATTCTCCAATTATTATCTCTAATTTCTGTAGCTATTTTAGTTATTCTAAGCCTTAGAAAACATACTTCCATGATTCTTATTTCAAATTGGTACTCTGATTAAATATTAATGATAATTCAATTAGATCTTTTAGCTTGCCTAGCCAGCCTCCGATTTCTTAAACAAATGCTGAATTATCTGCACAATAAGGTTCAAATTCTAATTTAACTAGTTGCTCACATTATCTTAAAGAACTTGTAAAGCTCTTTCGCAATAGCTGCCAATAATTATGCTCTCTTTTTATATGAGCTATCTTAATTTATTCTAATCTTTAAATTTATTATTATTAATCATAGATTTGCTTAGTTTATTTAATAGAATTTAATCCTTAAGAAAGATACTTTTAAATTATGAACACTTTAAAATTTGATGGAATTTCCATGTTAAATATTACAGAATCAACAGTGATTAAAAGGGGGGTGGGGGGGTATTTTCGTCAATAACTTCAAAGATTTAAAATTTGACATAAATTTTAATCAATCACTACATAAAATTGCCCTAAAATCCTGTATTTTGTTCACCCCACTTCAGAAAATTTAGCTAAATTTAAAAATTTAGATATATAAAATTTATTTATTTATGAAATTAAAATAAATTAAATTATTAATTATATTTCTATTATAAAATATAGAAATTAGATTTTTTAATAAATAATTAAAAAATATATTTCATAATAAGTCAATTCCAAACGAAGGAATTTTTGAATGGCATCTTGCTATAATTCACTTAATTTTTAATTAAATAAAAAAAATATTTTAGATTAAATAATTATGCAACAAAAAACAAAAATAATATCTTAAATAGTATATTAAATAAGAAGTATTTTGAAGGATAAACAAACCCTAAATAGAGGAAATCATGCTTCAATCATTAAAAAATTATTCAAATTTGACAAGTCTATCGATATATCTTTTATAATTTTAGATTGATTTGCCAAAAAAGAATTTATATACTGACAAATTGACAAGTGTTTTAGAGTATTTAAGCTACTTTAAAATTAGTTAAGATTTTTTAAAAAATTAACTAAGAGAATTTTATGATTCTTTTAGCACAAGCTTGAGTTCTATCAAATTTAAGTTATTGAGATGCTTGCCAATTTGAGTAAATACTTCAGCATTAATATCAGAAGCTTATTTTTGATTTAAAATTAATGCAAATTTTGTTAATTACTAATTTTATAATATTGGTAAAATTAGCTGGTCTAAAAATTAGTCTTAAAATTAGAAATATTCCAAATTAAGTTTTAGATTTCTAACTTACAATTTTTGAATTTCATTTTTTAAATTTAATATGTGATCATTTTTAGAGCTATTTTAGTTTAGTTTAAACTAAATACCTAATTAAATATCTTTAGAAACATTTTGCAAAGATTCTATTTCCACTTTTGCAAAGAACACAGGCTATGGTAAATCGTATTAAAATATGAATTAGATATTACATGCTGAATCTTCTGATTTTAAATATGTCTTTTGTTATTAATATTCATTTTCAATAACTAGCGTTACTTCTTTAGTACAAGTGAAGCTTATAAATTGCTTTAGTTATTCTGGACAATATTCTAAATTTTCATCAAAGCTAATACTCAACATCAATTATTTTATCTGCTTTAATTCACTCAAGGACTTCGATATCTCATTCAAAAATTACTGTCCTTAGTAATTGGTGTTATCATATTGAATTTAGAAAAATAGATCAGTCAAATTCTTTGAGTTCTTTATTGAAGAAGCTAAAGCTGCTCCTGCTTTTTTGCTTACTTTGTTTTTCTAACCAATATCTAGACTAAGATAATTAAGTGTAGATATTTTACTTATCCCTTCAGCTATTTTCAAAGCTCCAATTTCATTAATTTCACATAAATCTCCAAAGTAAATTTTTAAAGATTATAAATAATTTAAATAGCCAATTCCTGTACCTATTTAAATAGCTCCTTCTATTTCTATTGTACAATTTTATAATAACTACAAATCTAAAGTTAAAAGCTTTTTTAATTTGGTTAAACTTTATCCGAGTGAAATAGCTGCAGTCTTAGAAAAAGGAGTTTCTTCTGATATTTATATTTTAAGATATTGAAGGTGTATGAAGTATTCCAGCTAATCAAATAACAAATGATATGAATGAATATTATTTTTTAACAAAATTAGTTCAAGTTTAGCTAAATTAGTTAAATATTTCATATTTTAAATTGGTATTTCTTCAAAATTGTAGGACGAGTTCGTTAATTCTATTTTAAGTTCTTTCATTTTCCTAAACTACTTAAAAGACCTATAAAAATTTACAAACATCTTTGTGCATTCAATAAATTAACTTGAGTTTTAAGAAATATCCCAATCATGAGAAATAGTCAAGGAATTTAAATTTTCAAAGTCTTCAAATTTTTCATAAAACTTCATAAAATCATCAACTTAGCATTGCTAAGCATATCGAAAGCTTAGTTGTAAATTGGTTAAATTACTTTTATTTCTGTTTTTAGATTCAACTATTGATTTTTCCTTTATAGGTTTTTCAATTTTAATAGAATTAAAATCAAATTCTGCTTTCATTTAAAAGTTGAGGTACACTGCGCATAAATAAATATTACTGAAAATACCTTGTATTATTTAATTAATTTCTATACATGGAACATTCAAAAAAACAGTTAAGAATTTTAACTTTCTGAGTTTACTAAATCCATCTCTGAAGCTTTAAATTCCTTCTTCTGTAAAATCCCTTTTAATGTTAAAATTTTCAAAAAACATTTCTCTTAGATTTTCTAATCCTGAACAAGCTTAGTGAAATAAATCAGCTCCCTTATCTGTGAATTCATAATTACCTAAATTAATCTAAAGGTCTTGTAAGTTTCTTAAATTTTAAAGTCCTTTAAATAAATCTTGAAGCAAAGACTAATTATCTTTAGTTATAAAGACCTTTAAATGTGCTGTTTTTAGTTAGAATAAATTTGAAAACATTTGCTCAAGTCCAACAATAGATTTATTAAGATAATTACAATCAATATTCAAAAATAATTATTCTAGATTTTGTAAAGTTTAAAATTACTAAATTTATTTTTGAATTGTTTTTTGCCAAAATAAGCTTTGATAATTAAGTATTTTTAGTTTCTTCATAAATGAAATTGCTTCTGATAATTAAACCATTTAAGATCCTTCATATTTTTCGTTGTTGTAAAGATTAAATACCTCTAAATTCTTTAAATTTTAAAGTGATTGTAAAATCTAGTTTAAAATTATTCTAGTTGAATCGTGAGCTATCCCGTAATGCAATTCTTTTAAATTAGTGAGAGTATTTATCCCATTTATAAAATCTTCTATAGATTCTATTTCATTATTTTCTTCAGGTGGTTATTATTAACTAGCTTAGAAACCAAATCCAAAACCTTATTTTTTCTTTTCTTAAAATCTAATAAGAATTTTAAGCTTTTATAAATCATTTTATCTTTATAAAGCCATTCCTAGTTCTAAAAACTCATTTGAAAATAGCATTGATTCAATGTTTATGCTTAAGCTTAAAAGTTTGAGTTATCCTAAGTGTGATAGGGCTAATTCTTATTTACGGTCTGTAAAAACATTTACAGTTTTAAAGTGCAAATCTAACTCTTTTAAGCTTTAAATTTTTCCAATACTTTCCAAAATTTAATTTAAAATATCAATTTTATTTGAAGTAAGATCTGTAGTAAAATTTAGTTATTTTAACTCACTCATATGGTTTAATGATTCGCAAAGAGCTATGCCTTAAGATTATTTTATAAAGTTAGAGAATGCCAAGTCTAAAGTTTAGATAGAGCTATTTTGTTTCAAAGATTACATTATTTCATTATAGATTTGATCATGTATATTTTCTTTGTAACAAAATAGCTTTAGAGATTTTAGTTTTTATTTATTACTTAAGCATTATGCAACTTTTCTATCTGAATCTGTAGAATTGTTGCTTTCTATTATAATTTTTAAATCAGTTATATTAGGTAAACAGGCTAATGATTCATAATAATCATCTAGAGGTCTATTTAAAAACATACCAAAACATGATTCTAAATTAATTTTTTCTAAATTAATTAGATTTCTGAAAAATGTATCAATTAAAAAAATATCTTCCTTTTCTTTCACCTTTTAATTTAAAGCTAAACTAAGTTCTTTTAGCTAAATAAGTTTGGATAAATAAAGTGTGAGTATTTTAAGAAAATTATATCCCTAATAATTGTAATCCAAATTCAAAGTAAGCTTAGTTAAATTATTGAAAGATAATAGCGCTTAGAAGATATCTTTGATATCCTATTCAGAATTGTATTGCAAATTTAAGGATAAGTCTAAATCTTATATTGACTATAAGAAAGATAGACCTTACCAAAGATTTAACTTATCTTCAGAAATATCAATTTGATACTCTTAAACTTAGAGTTTTAGTTCTTCTATCTGCGAAAAATATTTGAAATTGTCAACTAAGTTCTTCAGGCTCAACGCAGAAACATAATTAGATTTATTTATTACAATTATTAATTTTTTCAAGCAAGTCAAAGATGAAATCGCATAGCTTAAGAGATTCAATCCCTGTTCTTCTAGTGAGCAAGATTCTCCAATTATTATCTCTAATTTCTGTAGCTATTTTAGTTATTCTAAGCCTTAGAAAACATACTTCCAGGATTCTTATTTCAAATTGGTACTCTGGTTAAATATTAACGATAACTCAATTAGATCTTTTAGCTTGCCTAGCTAGACTCCTATTTCTTAAACAAATGCTGAATTATCTGCACAATAAGGTTCAAATTCTATTTTTAACTAGTTGCTCACATTATCTTAAAGAACTTTTAAAGCGCTTTCGCAATAGCTGCCAATAATTATGCTCTCTTTTTACATGATTTATCTTAATTTATTCTAATCTTTAAATTTATTATTAATAATCATAGATTTGCTTAGCTTTTTTAATAGAATTTAATCCTAAATTGAGATGCTTTTAAATTATGAACACAATAAAATTTGATGGAATTTCCATGTTAAATACTACAGAATTCTAATAAAAATTCAGACTTTACTATTAACTTGAAGTCTTAGCGCTATCTTCAAATAACAATTAAAACCTAACCAAAATATAATATTTATCATAAAAAACAATTCACCTTAACTACTTGTTTAATTTTAATTTTTATATTTATAATCTAAAATATCTATTTTAAAATAAATTTAAATCTTCAAATAAAACATAAAATACCTAATATTTTATTTTATTTTATTCATTTTTAATAGGATAACGTTCTACTCTCGAAATCTAAACTAAACTCGAATTCTAAATAATAAATTTAATATTTGTTTTATATAATAGATTCTGCAATAAACAGAAACACAAATAATCGATGAAATGATAATAAGCATGATATATATTAAAATTTAAAAATTTGATTTGAAATAATTTTTGTTTTTTAGCAATATTCATTTTATGATTATCAGATATATTTATTTTGTTTGCATTTAGATATCTATCTATCTATCTATCTATCTATCTATCTATCTATCTATGTTCATTCATAAATAATTAAAAGGTGTACTTTATTGATGTAATTAGTTCATTATTTTTTATTTGATTTTTAGATAAAGAACAAATAAGATGAGAAATCTGCGAAGAAAAGCTCAGTAGTTATATTGGCGCGAAATTTGGATATTTGATTTCTTGGAATGAATGTAAAATAAATTTGTTTTTATAATTTTTAATGATTTTATTTTCTATTTTGTTAAATTCTAAAGCAAAAAATCATTCATTTTTAACTTAGCTTGTAATTTTTTTTGGTAATTGAGGCCATAAATATTTTTGAAAGTAAAATAATTGAATATTAAGAATTCATTAGGTTTTATTTAAATTAATGAATTTCCTTACGATTAGAAAATCTAATAGAGATTAACAGAGGAAGTGATTGATGGAAAAGAAAATTAATTTTGAGATTATCAATTAAGGATTATTAGAAAATTATCTAAATAGATATTTGGACAATATTATTCATAGATATCATTTGAATTTAGCCTCAAACTTCTCTTAATAATATCATTTTGTACTTCAAATTTCATAAATAAATATAAATTTAGCCTCAAATTTCTATAAATGAATAATATCATTCATTAATAAGTAGATTTTATATTTACATTCATTTTGTTTAAAAAGAAAATCTTTATATAATTTCGCGCGCATGAAAAAACAACTCAGGATTAATTAGTATCTGATTTATTTTTAAATAGACTCTAATCATACAACTTAATCTTGAATAAATAGCTAGATATATAATATGATTTTTTATTCTTTATCTATTAATGATCACTTATAAAGATAGAAAAAGATTTATTTAAATGCATAATACCTATTATAATTCTTTATAAATAAATATGTAATATATAATCATGTATTAAATTTCATGACTTTCAGTTTGAATGTGAGCGAATAATATCATATTTTTTTCTAACAGAGGAGTATAATCAATTTGAATAAAAACTATCAATATAAAAATGATAAAATTAAATGTTAATATATACTCTTTAATACTAAAGTGACATATTTTTTAATTGTATAAGAAATCTCTTTAAATTTCAAACAAGTTATTCGCTATTTCAATGTATTTGAATTTCTTAAAAATTGTTTGTATTATTATTTGTGAGATTTTATTAGATCAAATGAAGGAGTTTTGATTTCAAAGGACTAAAATAATAAATTTGATCATTTAAAAAAAAAAAATTTTGAAAATATAGCTGAAATAAATACATATTTTTAAACATTTTATTCTATTTTAATAATACATTTTTATAGTATGTGGCATAGATTTAATTTTGTTCTGATTAGATTAAATACTTAAATTTATTATTTTAGATGTTTGTATTTTGATTGTCCAGAAGATAATTTAAACTTCAGAATAAATCAGTTCAAATTCATATTAATTATTTTTGATTTGCCTTATATTAAATAAAGGACTAAGAAAGATAGAAGGAAGAAAAATAATAAATAAATTATTAAAAACAATAAAAAAAAAATAAAAAATACATTCTAAAATGATGAGGAGAAAAATTGTCTAGGTAGCTGAATAAAAAAAATTGAGCTTCTTTAAAAGTGAACTATTTTATATTGTAGAAGAATTTATTAAGAAAAATTAAGATTATGATATTGAAGACTTGGAGAGTTTAAAAGAAAGAAGTCTTTTTGATAATTCATTCACAAAAATTACCACTTGTTTATAGTATGATGTCTTTGATAGAAAAAATAAAATGAGAAAAAAAATAGAAGTGTTTTCAATAGAAAAATTAGGTGAAGCATATTTAAATTATATAATAAACTACTCTTAAAGAAGTTAAAGTCTATTGAGGTCTGATTTAGTTTTAAAAGTATTGGACTCATATTACTTAGATGATGAGCAGCTTTTTTATGTAGTTGATTGAGTATGAGTATTTTGATTATTCAATTGAATAATTGTAAATTGATAATATAGAATAGGAAATAAGTTAATATTTATATTAAATATATTAATACTCTTAAAATGCTTTATCACCAATGTAAAAAAATGACTTTTCTATAAATAGTTATAATATTAGCAGGTCTGGGCATTTTATTTTTTAAAAGGAATAAAATAAGGTATTCGTTAAACTAAACACAGTAGATCCATTTTTATTCTAAAACTCTAAATAGCCTAATAGATTTAAAGTTCGCAGCTATATTAAAATTAATGATTATTATTTACAGTAAGAGAAAAGTTTTCCTTCTAATATTTGTATATCACAACACTAAGTAAAAGTTTTTAGAAATTAATTTTATTAAGAAGTTTAATAACATTACCCTCAGTTCATGAATGAAAACAGGCTAATTATAGAATAGATAATTCAAATTAACACTGAAATAGAATTTTTTACTCTTTAAAGCATTTAGTTTGAAAAAAACTGTTTCGTTATTAGAGGAGATTCCCAAAATTAAGCTTTTGTCTTCTAAATTTAAAAGTTTTTGTCTTTAAATGAAGCTAGAATCAAATTTGAAGAATATAACTAAATAATTAATGATTTAAATGATGTTGATATAAAAGTTAATGCTTTTCTCTAAATTGTAGATTTTAGCTTGCAAGGAAGGATCTTTCTACATAGTGGTGCGTTCAGATTATAATTTATATTAAAATACTTAGTAAATTTCTTATTACTCTTCATTTTTTTAAAATGAAATCAAGCCAACTCACTAATTTGATCCAAATTTACAAAAAAATTCATTTAATTTCATTTAAAAAATAATAAATGCATACTCTGTCCTCATAAAATATATGGTAAAACCCAGTAGCTTATTTTTATTGCAAAATAACTAGCTGCTTGCTGATGAAAATATTTTATGCTTTTATCAGTTTTAAAATGAAAATTACTCCCTTAAAAACTTGGAAAATAATTATGTTGATATATTATAAAATTTTGCTTAATCTTTAAGAATATTTAATGATGTTTATACTAATTCTAGCTCCTCTTTAGATAAATTTATGAATATTCTCAGAGAATATTTTTAATCTCTTTAATGTCATCAAATGAATAAAGAAGATTTACATTCAACAGTTTAGAAAATTCTTAATTCAACCTTAAAGTTAATTGAATTTAATGCATTGCTAAATCAATAAATTTTTAGCTTTTCTTCCAACAACTTTGATTAATTTTGCTTAAATATATATCCAAGCTCATAACTATCTTTACAGGATTTAAAAAATTTAATTAAAATATCTTTAGAAAATTCTAACTTTAGCTCAATATTCTTTGATAAAAATATGTTTTCTTATGGATATAACTATTAAGATTCATATTAAATTTTTCAGAAAGAGTAAGAAATCAGTGGCTACACAGAAAAAAATATCAAAGATATAACTAAACAATGCCTTCTCTTTATTCGCAGATTTAAATTAAATCTATTCTAAATCTAATAAATCCCATTCTAAATTATGGGATAAGATTATGTTCTATGCTTGTGCTAAGGCCATGAGGAATTCAATGATCTTATTAACAATGAATATGAAGATGAAAATTAAAATTAAAATGAAGATGAAAATTAAAATTAAAATTAAAATGAATAGCAAGTTGAAAATGAAAAAATATATTAAGATTAAGATTATGATGAAATACAGTAAATTGATGAGGAAGAGAGTGGTCCTATAAATCATAGTTATCAAATTTCACAAGAAGATCAAATTTTTAGTGAAGAAATTGAGAAATAAAAGAATAATAATATAAATTACAATAATAAGAAAAAATAAGAAATTATAGAAGAGGAAGAATCAGATTGCATTGAAGAATAATTAACAACTTAAAAAAATAAATAATTAAATTAAAATAATATGGACGAAGATTATAATGAAGATGATGAAATAAATAAAAATGAACAATAATTTTCAGTTTATATTGGATAAAATCATTTAAAAAATGATAAAAATGTAAAAAACTAGAATATTTTTAATAGAGCTCTCTATAATCAATTATAATCACATGTTATATTACAATAAATGACATAAATTAAGAGTAGCTGCTTTTGTTTTTATTGTGAACAGTATTAAATTATAAATTTGCTCTCTAAAAATCAAAAAAATATGAAAATTTTTAATTTCTAACTAAGTTTATGTCCATCATTCGAAATTTAGCTAAAAAAAAATTTAGATTATTTTGACCTAAAAAGTAAACAGAATTTACTTGAAATTGGATTTTGTTCTTATGTTGAAATAAACTAAAATCAAATTAAATTAGTATGCGATTAACTTGAAAATAATATGGGAAGTATAAATACTATTTGCCTATAAACTTCTAATACTATTTAAAAATAACAATTTTATAAATTGAGTAGGCTTGTCAATTTTTCAAGTCTTGAATATTGAATGAAATTTTATTGATTAAGCAAATTTTTAAAAAATTATTTAGCAATTTTATCTTTATATATTTAAGTGTTTTTCAATTTCATTATTATTTCAAATTAAAAATAGTATTTTCATATTTATACATATTTTATTAATTTACAACTGGGTGAGTGAAGTAGGGTATTTATTTTCTTAAATTTTGCAAATATTTTGCAAATCCAAATATGGTAATTATTTTTCATTAAATAAAAAATATTTTCTTTTAAAAAACTAAGTATATTATAAAAAAATAAAAAATATATTATAAATTTAAAATATAATAAATATATGAATATAAATCCTTTTAGTTTTTTATAACTAATGTGTCTAAAATATTTACAAAAAGTTTATAGATAGATTCTGATGAAAACATTATGAGATATTTAATAGTGAAATACTGTTTGAAAAATTAGATGTAATAAATAATATATATGCATTTTAACGCTTCAAAATTTTTTAAAATAAAAATATTATTTAAAGTAAATCTATTTATTAAAAAGTTATTTAAGTTGGTATTAAATGCACTTACTTATTTGGTGGATGCAATCTATATCTAAATAAAATGTGCTTACAAAAAAATAACTAATGTGATTTGAGAATAATTAGAGATATTATAAATATTCCTATAATTAACTACAGAGCTAAAACAGAAAAATCTACTTATTAACATAATTTTTATAAAATTTAAGAACATTAATAGAATTCTTTCAAATATAATTAACTGCGCATCTGTAATTCCTATTATATTTTTAAGTTTATGTTTTAAATAAAAATATTAAGATTAAATAATGAATGTTAAATTAATTTGTATGTGATATCTCTTCATAAAACCAAATTTATAAATTAATATTTGTTAATTTATTATTATATTTTATTAGTTCTTTTTATTATTTTATAATTAATTAATTAATTAATTAAATTTCATAAATTGCTTGCTATTCAATATTTTTGAAAATAAAATAAATGATATAATAGATTAAAGAATATTACAGATTAGAAGAAGTAATTATTAATTTTTTTATTAATATCTTTTAAATTTATATATATTAATAAAAAAAGTTTTTAAGCTCTTCACTTTCATCTCATGAGGTTCTCCATATTAGTCTGTAGTATATTTTATTTATTAATCTTATTTTTATTATTATTGATATTTTTTATGTATTTAACTTTCAATTTATTTAAATAAATAATTTTTGTTATAGAAATTCTCATCATTATTTATTGATTTTTATTAAAACAAAAATTTTTTACCTATTATAACTTAATTTTCAATTCAATTTTAATTATTTATTATTCATATTTTATTAATTATAAAAGTTAATTTAAAACATTAAAGCTCTTATATTTGATTTATTCTCCTTTTTCTTTTTATTGTGATTTCTTTTTTTTCATTCTTTGTTAATTTTATTAATTATTAATTAATCTTATTATTTGATATTTTCGTTCTAATTAACTAGAGTGAAATGCCTATTTAATTTGCAAAATGCAAAATGTAATATATCTTAATAACATAAAAAATAAAGCTAAATTAGCTTTAAATAGTTTTATTTTTGAGTTTTTATAAAGCTTTAAATTCACAAAATGTAAAATTTGAAATAAAATAAACCTTATATTCTTATAAAATATCATTTTTTTTGAAAATAAATTCAGATTTAAAATTTTTTTGATTTGTTTGTTAATTGTCACTTTAGTATAAGTAAAAGGTGGGACATCTCAATTTCCATACATATATATATTTATATAGTATTTTCAAAAAATTAATTTGTACTTACTGATTTATGATTGATTAGAAATTTTCTTATAAAATTATAAAAAGACACTTTTATTAAGTAATTTAAGAAAATTGATAGATTAATTAGACACTTTTAAAATAATCCTTAATTCTTTAATAACTAATTACAACAGATTTTTTCAAATAAAAAAAAATTTTTAGTATAAAATTTTACTTTAGAAAAAGAAAGACTAATATCTCAATGAAGTATTTAAAATACAATAGATTAAACAGAGTAACAAATTTCTCAATACCTAAAAATAAATGTTTTTATAAAAAAAAGTTTCTTAAATCTTATTTGCCATTGCACAAGAATGTAGAGATATTTTTAAAGTAAAATTAAAAAATTATTATTATCAAAAGAAGCTTAAAATAATTTTTAAACTCAAATGAAAAACAAATTTTATAAATTATCCAAAGATATATTTTTTAAATTTTTGAAAATGAAAATATAAAACTAAGACTATTACATTTTTATCTATTAACCTATTATCTATTTGGTTCATAACTAATAAATAGCAGTTCAGAAAGTGAATTAGAAGAAAAGAAATTATCTGACTTAGATTCTGCTTTAGAAAAATGTATCAATCTTACAAATCTGAAGCTAAAGATTAGGTAAATTTTTTTATTACTACCTTTTTTACACTAAAAATACTTATTAATTCAATTAAAAAATTATTTTAAAAATAAAATTCTAAAAATCAACTTATTCTCATTGATTAATTCTCACTTAAGTAATGTTAATACTAACTAAATTTAAGTTTGACTGACTTTAGCTATATTGAAACACTTCAAATGATATCATTTTTAACAAAATTGAAGGAAAAATGCTTAAGTTTATATTCAGAGTATGAATACGTAGACGATTTTCCACATTTAGTTATCTTTTGTAAGTAAGATAAGTTGATTTTTTTATTTATTTTTGAATTTTAGATAATAAATATATTTTTAATAGTAGATTTAAAATTTTTATATCTTATTTTAAATAGCTTCAAACAATTTGACAGCTAAATTGTTAAGGAGGAAAAGATATCTACTTCTATCTATGACTTAGTTAGCATCTTAACATATAATTTTTCTAAGTAAAATAATATTATACTTATAATTAATAATAAAATTATTTATTAAAAAAGAGTTTACATGCTAATAAATATAATAACATAAATACGTTTATTTTTTTGACTTACTTTCCTTCCACTCTTTAATTAATAAAATAAAAATAAAGGTACACAAATATGAGTTTTGATGATTACATTTGCCAATTGAAGAAGCTAGCAAATTTATAGACCCTGTCAATTAACTTAAGTTAGTAAATTAATATTATCTTTTTTTTTATTTTTGGTATTCAACAATTTAAAATCTGTCTTTCTATCTGTTTGTCTGCAATATGAAAAATTAAAAATACAAATTTTTAATTCTTTCAATCAAAATTTAAATAAGTTATTTTACTCTTTAAATATAAAAGTTATGTTTAAAGTAGAAATGAAAGAAATTTTATGGATTGCTCATTTTTAAGGTTCTGCAATTAGTTATCAAAATATGAAAACCTTTAATCTTTTACTCTTCGTTTAAGGTAATTTAAAAATAAAATATTAAATTCATTTATATTTTTTAGTATAAATTGTTTTGTCTA